CTCAGTCTTTAAGTGCTCAGGCTGACGCACCAAGATCGACTTACCTTCCAGAACACAAACCCTGCATGCTGAAAATGACGAGTTGGGACTGCCAGCCCCGTCTCACTAATGTCATAAACCAGTTTGTAAATGAGCCACAGCATAATGTGCATATCTCCCATTCACTGTCTGTGTATCCAGGCATGCGTCCGATTCTAGAAAAGAGCGGGCGGTACGGCAGCTCATGCATTCTGGGATATTTGGCTGCACCAAGTCCACTGATGCATGCTCAATAAAACAGGAGGAGCGAGAACACATCTGGGAATTTTGAGCATACTTTAAATTGGAACAGTACTTGGTCTGTGGCTGATGATGTATCATAAGTCCACGAGATCGCAAGTACACACAAGTACGCATATTGAGACATGGCCAGTTGTTTGCACAGTGGTAGCAGAGGGAGAGCACTTACTGCAACACGCCCATTAAGTATCCAATGCTAAGCAGCAGCACAGATGCTCACATATGAAAATACCCCAGTGTTTATGGACTCAAACATTTAGACATGACTTTAGTGACTTAAGAATAAACTTTGCAATTATTGGTCCTGCACTAATGTCCATTTTTCGTAGCTCTGCAGCTACATGAAGGGAAGGATTATGGGAATTCAGTGAGCACAGAGCCCAAAAAGCCAACAGCATGTAGCTCTGCATTGGTAGACTGCTGACTGGTTAAAAGGTTTACTTGAACAGGGAAGAAGAACCACATCGGAGCTCTCCACGAAGAGGAAAAGGTGCTACATAAAAGATCAAAAAACCTTGCATGAGGAGCACAGACAGCTGCTGCAGTAGAGTTTCACTTGTTTCCAACACTGTGTTTCATTTCAGTGGAAAGAAGTCAGCTGCGCCCCGCTTGTGGCCGAAGGACCAGAGGCAGGACCAAGATGGACACGAGCAGCCCACATTGCCAGTTATTATAAATATTCTCAACACTGCCCCTGCTGACAGAGTAGAGCTATAACATTTAGATGTGTGTGTGCAAAGCTCTGAGTAGCACCATGTGAGACACTTTAGCTCTAACCTCTAAGCAACTTTGGTGCAGCCTCGTCAACCTGCACACGACTGAAAGCAGGACCTTAACTCCGAAGCCTCAAACTTCGTGAGACTTTACTTGGAATGGAGCGACTTGGCTAACGCAGCGGCGTAGACCGGGTTGATTTCCTGTCAAGCGGCTGAACGCCTGCGTGAAGTTTTCTTTTCTCCCCGTCAGCACTGCGAGCACTTCAGCGAACATCCCCCGCTCAGTGTCAGACGGTCTGCGGTGTCAGAGAGTTCTGCAACCCCGGCAGAACATTGTGGTTTATTTTAGAGGAGATGATCTAAAAACTGACAAAACCTCCAGCTAAAGTGTGAGCAGGATGTTTCTAATGTCTGGTTAGTTAAGTTTCTTTGCAGTGTGTTTGGTCTTCCTCCCCTCCAGCAGGGCAGCGGCGGAACGATGCCAGAGCTCATTCTGCTAAGGAGGCATGTATGTGTTGAGGAGGAGTGCTAACGAGTCTCAGCCAACGAGGAGGTGAAGCTGCTGCGGGGTGACCTTTGACCCTCAGAGGCACTCTCTTTCAGACTGGGCTGCCTCTGGCAGGGTTGCGGTGCCCCACGCTTGCCGGAAGGCAGCGGTCGAGGTCAGAGCGAGAAACCCAGAGCCTCCGTCCTTTTTCCAACATCGACACCGACCAATCGAAAGGCTGTAGGAGAATGGAGGAGGAGGAGGAGGAGGAAGGACAAATGAGTCTAATTCCTCTTTCTCCGTGTTGGAGAAACAAAGCTTTTCTCAGTGTGTGCAGAAGTTTTGGGCTTACAAGATGTTTCCATTTATTATCCAATAATATCAGGGAGGCGTCTGATTGGCTCTGAATTCCTTCTGAAGCAGCTGCAGATGAGGAACTGCAGTAACTTCAGCCACGAGAAGAACAAGTCCTGCAGCAGAAGGTTTAGGCCTCATGGAGAAGAAGACATTCAGATGGGTTTTCCAAAATGTTCAAAACAACAATTCTGCCAACTGCAACCAAGTGTCATTTTGAACCCTGTGAGGTCACAAACCCAAGCCCATGTCTTAAAGAAAATGAAACAGGACTCATTTGGAAAGAATTTCATTATTTTTTTGAGGTGTGTCAGTTAAAATGTCATTTTTTTGCCCACTGATTCCTAATATTTGGAAGCACAATTTAAATAAATAATAAATTTCATGTTCTGATTGCAAAGGGTTATCACGAGAACATCCCACATGCTGGACCGCGTTCCAGCTCCAATGCTGTCACCTCCTCAAGACAATGTTTGTCATTCCACCAGGAATATTTTAAGCATCTGATTCACTGAGCTTCACTTAAAATATAGCCGTGTCTATTTTTCAGGCTTGTCGGGCTGCACAGACCAGATGAGGAGGTCAGGAAGCCTGACACAGGACTTACACAGAGAAGCTATTTTTTTCAAAATAAAAGACTGGGTGCATGGCTAAATCCTTCGATTCGGAGGTGCTTCTTTTGTGATTCAAACTTCTGCGGAGCTCTGGGTTTACTTGCAGGGTTAGCGGCCATCATCGATGTCAAGAGTTTAAAGGGCGCTTACGCTAAATATCGAAAGGACTAGATCAATTTAAGGGACACAAGTGAACAACTTTTCACTGTGGTAACAACATAGTAGTTTTAGTTTAATCTCATTCTTGTGAGCATGTATGAAGAGTTAACCTATCAGCAGCGATGCATACAACAACGCAGCATATTAAAGAGACTGCACGCTGGAATGGAAATACTGGAAACTGAAATTTCAGCAGGTGCAGCCTCAGATTAGCACTTTATAATTGGTTAATATGACCATATGTAACTCCTGCCAGGTTAAGTAATAAAAATATAAAAAGACCTATGTACTAAATTCACAGTCAAACATTTGTAATTGACTGGATAATATGCAGCTTGACTTCCTGTCTTCGTCGCTCTGATTTCCTGCTTATGACACATAAATCAGTCTCAGTGCGTCTCAATTGTTAAAAAGCATCTGGAGGACGGAGGAGATATAATCAAGGAGGCACAAGTGTATCCTCAGAGGGGGAGGTCACCTTTAAGTATATAAATATGCCACAGCACGGCTGGAAAATACAGGAGGACTCTTTAAGCAGCACACGTTTAGTTAAATCACTGTTTTATTTTGGGAATATAAAATATCCTATAGGCACATGTAACATTACCTCCAAGCACTACCTGGACTTTTATAATATAAACACTTGGAATTGACCACATCTTGGAGAAAAAGGCATCTTAATCAAAAGGAAACTACTGAATACCCCAACTTACAGTAAATGAGGACTAAGATTTTATTACTTTGTTATAACATTTATGTTATCTGTGTTTTGTTTTTCTCATCTGATTTGGATTGAATCTGATTCATTTTGGTTAATTCTAGGATATTGAAGACTCCTCCTATTGGTGGAGTGTTCCTGGTGGAATTTTCCGCTCTCACCTAAATGGAAGTTTCCTACTGGTAGAGCACCAACTGGAAAATAGTCGGTGTGTTCATGGAGTCCGTTTTCTTCCAGGTGGGTGTGTGTGTGTGTGTGTGTGTGTGTGTGTGTGTGTGTGTCTAAACGAGTCAGAGTTTTAGGTTGAGTATAATGATGCCATGAGCTTAAGGAAATATAATTTCACATAAAAAGAGAGTGCCTTGGAGATTTTTGATTATTTAGCTTATATTTGTCCCTTCCAAAAAGCTGTTGCTCCATCTGAGACATAAAGATTTAGTTGGGCTACTTAGCTGGTTTAAAATGAGGCTCTGAAAGAAGGATGCCTCATTAAGTTAAATGCCTGTTGCTTTACTCCTCTGCGGTGGACCACAGGAAGGCTAAGATGTGAGGAGATTAACTGAGAATGTACATTTTAAGCAATAAAGGGAGACAGTACTGCCCTTCCTCCTTGTCAGCTGTTAGTTCTACAGATGTCTTCCTTTCATTATTTATGCTCCTATTTAGGATTCCTGTTTCTTTTACAATAACGGCTCAATTGTTTTGAAAGGTGATGTCTGTCTCTGCAGTGTCCAAGTCTTTAAAGATAAATACTGTTTTAAACATGTTTTTAAATCAGGTTCCTGTGTTTTTGTGCTTGTGAGCTTTATAAGTGGCCTTTAATGTTGTTTATTATGCTTCTATCAATGATGTTCTTTTGTCTTCTTCATCTTTGCTTTTCTTTTACCCTTTATAAATGCCACCAACCTGCATATTAAACTGAGCCTGCATGACTAAGTGTTCAATTTAATTAACATGTCCTTTTTTAAATAAAATAAACTTGTTAATGCACAGTGTCCCTTTCAGTCTCTGGGAGGTTTCGTGTTTGCCCTCAGCAGTATGTCCGAGTTTCCTCTGAGGGGAATTTACCTGCTGCTAATGTAGTGAAGGTGTTTTTCGCAATAAAACTTTATTTTAGAAAACTAAAATAAATGTACATCTTGAGTCCAGGAAACAAGGATTACTCTGATAAGCTGCCCATAAGGAGAGTTAATACTGTATAATGTGATAATGATTACTGGTTTGTCAGACTGGGAGTAGACATCTCCCAGTTTAATTTTGTGACAGAGCAACAGGATTTTCAGGATTCAGACGGTGATCTCAAACGCCTTCGTTCTCATTTCAGTTTCACTGTAATAAACTTTACTTACATGTGATTTGAAAACAATATTCCCCAAGCACTGGCGTGTTTGGGACGACGTTCATCAAAATGTGTCAATCAGCTCGCGAGGAGATCCTTAAATAAACCCCAAATCCTCAGGAGCCCTTTGTCTGTGTTCGAATGATAACCTGGAGCGCCTCCTGCTGGAGGGCTGCGGGGATTACAACGAGACAGAATAAACTAAAAACATCGTCCAAGTTTCTCATCAACATGTCTCCATCTCCTTGACCTTTTTGAGCTCACCTGATTTCCTCAACTTCTTAGACTCAAGAACTGTCTTCTCACTTCTTGCTACTTCACAGGAAACAACAGGTAAAACTTAAAATCTTTATTCGGACCCAAAACAAATCAAAATTTACATTCAACACAAAAAAAAGAAAAAGGATGAGCGTGCAGACTCTCTGCAACCTTCAAGCTTCGGTACAGTCACAACTGACACGGACAAGAAACACAAACCTCTCAAAGGTTTGTTTCAAAGCTAAAGAACCAGAAAAAGAGCATTAAACAGTCCTGCAGCAGATTTCTTTAAAGGTGCTCGTCTTTTTCTTTGTGCTCGTGTTGAAGAGGCTTCGCCGCTCCTTCTCTCGACAGCCTGTCGGCCTCCTCGTTGCCTCTGTAGCCGGCGTGACCTGGTATGTGCATCTGGAGGAGGACCAGAAAGGCACACAAGTAAGTATAAAAACATGAAAATAACAACTAATAATCAATCACTTGGACGCTTACTGAGCATTAAACAAATGATTGGATATGGCTGTACTATGCAGCACTAAGACTGTTTAGTACTGCGGCCTGTAATGCAATCACAGTAAATGATCACTTCAAATTATTGCTGCTAAATCATGGGGTGCTCATCACAGGTTGCATTTAAATCATTAAGACCTGCAAATGACCAGAAGATTTATCATTACATCCTGATACGTACGACCTTCAAACAGGCGGTTTTTACCATTACCGGTTCATCCATCAGATAAGACATTAACAATACTGCTGATGCTTTTCTCTGAGTGTTACTTTTAAATTGAACCTGTCACACCGTTTCCAGATCACACTACTTTCTGCACATCAAAACAATCCACCAGAAGTGAAGAGAACAATGTAATAATGAGCTCATCATTTTAAGTTAAATTTTCCAAGCAGAAAATGCTGAATTTCTCTGGCTTCACCTTCAAAAAATATTCACCTTTTTTGGGCTTAATTTGGACTGAGGGGGTTTAATTCTTCCCTCACGATAATCTGAACCCTTTCGTAATATCTGTCTGGCATTCACGATTTATTTATGGACCCTTATTTTAACGTATATTTTACATTTTTCAGCATTCGAATAATTGAATCAGAAATTAAGTGACAATCAACCTTGTGCCAGCCTGACTTCGTACAACTAAAATAAAAACACAGATGATCCCGCAGCAAGAGGAATAAAATTACTTTTTTTTTTTTTAACCAAAGAACAGAAAGGTGACGCAGTGGAGGAACCTTTTACACATTTGTGAGACTAGTCTGAATAAAATGTTGTTGTTTATTCAACATTTATGCAAATTAGCACATTTAATTAGTACTAATGAAAGAAACATTAGCATATTTTAGTATCAAATGTGTACTTGTCGAACACTTAGTCTTATTAACAAACCAGGGAGTTTCTATCATTTAAAATTTTTATTATTCAGAGCTGATTAAAAGAATAAAAATGTACGATATTTTCTGAATTATGAATCTAACGTGCAAACAAAATGAAACAGGAACGCTGAACCTGTCTTCAGGTCAGATTTTTCTTTTTTGAAGACGTTTGAAATAGGAAAATTATTTGGATATGTAACACTTCATCTGCTTATCAAAAGCATAAGATTTCAGAAAACAAAAAACAAACCATAATCATCTTAATCCAAGTAATCCACTGAAACTGTCCCTTTGATATATACAGTTTTAGCCTCTGAGGAAAGTTGTTCGGCTGCTTGCTCTGTCTGACTGTACTGAGCCCTGCGTGCCCCCATGTGGCCATTTTTCAGGCCATGGACAGATTTATCACCTCCCCAGCAGGGGGCGGTTGACTGCAAAAAGACTCCTGCGGTAAATGTAAAAACATTGTTTACTTCTGACCTGCATGAATCTAAAGACCCCGTCCGCAAAGAAACACTGATACTTACCCAGACCACCTCCACCTGTCCATTCAGCCTGTCCAGTTTCACAAAGTCGTCTTTGTTGGTAATCTGACCTCCAGATTTCAACCTCCAGCCGTTCAGCTTCCAGTTCTTCACCCAGCTGGTCACACCTGCATGAAGGAAAAAGAAAAGAAAAACCTTTACCCATTCAGTGGGAAATTCAAAAGCTGAAATCTGAGTGGTAATGCAACATGACTGCAGCATGACTCGAGTTTGTGACTCACCGTTTATCGTAAACTTGCTGTCGGTGTATAAAACGAGCTTCTTGATGTTATTCTGTTTGGCCTGTTCCAGCGCTCTGCAGGCCGCCTGGTGCAGCGAGAGCAGAGACGACAGTTAGTTATGCTTTAAAGCTTGTAGAGAAAAATCCAAGCATAAAATAACAAACAGGCATTTACAGGCCTGCGTCTTGCTATTCTTTCCAATAAATAGGTACATTTACATATCTGCTCCCTCAGGAAACTTTTCAGTTTTTAGTTTTGTTCCAACTATGACCATCAGGTGGCGCTTCTTTGTATTTGCTGTACATTTAATAAGCCTCTTTACATGCTGGCCCTCAGTAGTTTAAACTGGTTAAAATTGCCTCAGCCTCTCCTCTCTTTAACCCTAGCACACTAACATGCAGTTTTATAACACTATCACTAATGTCAGGTAGATTTTACCCGACACCCAAAAAAAAAACAAACCCAAAAAAACCCCAAAAACATACTTCCCATTAAAATATATTAAAGCACAACAATAAGTGGCAAATTGAAGTGCTCTTCCTTTATTTCTCTCTACACAACATCTCACAAAAGGAAAAAAGTGTGTCATGGTGGTCCCTTTAAAAAGATTCTAAAGCAACAGAATGAAAATCACCCCATGTTACTGTTAAAAATTTAAAAAGTACTGTTTAAGTGCAGCCCTGCAGAGTTAACACTGAGCATTAAACTGGACTTTTAAGACAGAAACTCTCATGCTGAGATGTAAATCTTACTTGTATCTCTGCGCGCTGGTTGGTCTGCCTTCCCTGCAGCCTCTCTGCAACATTTCTATAAAGCCAGAGGCAACAAATGTGAGAAACCGATGCAATTAAGACTTTCACTATGGAGGTTTAGACTGAGCAGATTTTAGGAACTGTTTAAAACATGCTCGTTGTAGCACGTGCACATATTCTCACAGCGGGTTGTTGCATCCCCAGTACACCCCGATGCCCCCCCGTGCGCCGTTCTGTCCGTTTTTTGAGCAGCAGCCATCGGTGTAAACGACCACAGCGTCACCTGTACGGAGAACGCAGAACAGTTCAGACTGGAGTTCAAGTTTTATTGCTTCCATTTTCTACATTTTATATTTAAATATTTCTGTATGTAGTAAATAACATGATTTTGTCCCCATAACATGTTGAATGGAGTTGAGCTCTAATATTAAAGCTTGCACATCTCACCCATGTACGTGAATCCATCCGAGCTCTCTGATGACGAGTTTTGTGATGTCGAGCTTTCTGATGGCTTAACTCGTTTGGCCTGGTGCCCCGCCTCCTCCTCCGATTGACATCTCTTTTTGCCAAGAGGGATGTACTCGAGCGGCTCCGGGCCTCGTTTAGGAAGCAGAGTGACATCAGACTCCACGCTCTGAGTTACTGAAAGCCACAAACACAAGAAGTTCATCAAGAACAGTGTGCAGCAAGTACCTGATTCTCCACTTAAAATCACCTGTGAGCTTTGTGTGAATCCAGACCTGCATGCTGTATTACCACCTCAAACAGACACAGTGGCTGGGTTAACCCTCTACTGCATAGCGTTGCCCTGAGGCAACAAACCACATTTTCATGCCTCACACAAATAAATGTATATAAAAGAAAAACTTGCATGTGCATGAATATGTTAAGAAGCATATTTGATTGTTTGTTCTACTTTTTAATTACAGGACATGGATGTAAAAACCTTTTATGCAAGGAAACCAAGGGGATGTGCACTTTCTGTCCTCAGAAAGTGAGGACAGTGAGCTTTCAGGGAGTGACAGTGAAGTAGAGGAGTGGATCCCTGAATGAGGTTTGAGGGACACTTAGGAGCTCAGGGGTCAGTTGGTAAAGTAACTGTGTCTGTGTGTGTGTGTGTGTGTGTGTGTGTGTGTGTGCGGTGCGTGTGTGTGGTGTGTGTGTGTGTGTGTGTGTGTGTTACATGGGGTTAGGGTCAAATGTCGGATGTATTTTGGTGTTTATTGTTCTGTGAAATGTTTACATTGTTTATTTGTTGTTTATTTATTTGTTCATCCTTGTTGTACTAATAAAACTTATTATAGAATAACTTGTTTTTGACTACCCTTGTCGCACAGTGTTGCCTTGAAGCAACAAACCAATATCTGTTTTTTTGTTTTTTTGTTTTTTTGTTGTTGTTTTTTTTTTGGGGGGGGGGGGGGGGGGGTTTTTTATGATTGATATATTATAAGGGACCCTAAAGCTCCCCCAGAAATATTTTTTTCCCCAAAAAATAAAAAGTCATGCAGTAGAGGGTTTTAACATATTCTTGGATTCCAAACTGACGGCCATTTCCAAACCAAGATGCTCCGAGTTCAGCCTCAATCCCAGCTCCAAGTAATTATAGTTTCTCGTGTGTATTTGAAGAGTATAAAATTAGAAAATATTCACCTTTCTTCACGTCTGGAACTGCAGAAGGCTCGATCCCTCTGACGAATGCCCAGGCATCTCGCTCTGAGGCAAACTTCTTAAAGGAGGCAGAAGGAAATTTGTCCACTTGGCTCTTACACTCGTCCCTAAATGACAAAAAAATAAAAAGTAAAAAATCAGGAGAATAAAAATCTTGAGATGTCTTCATTCTCCCCTCCGGACACTTTAATGATACACCTTTTCAACTGCAACTCAATCCATTCGGGCAGAGACATGGTCAAGATGACCCACTGACGTTCACACTGAGCCACTGGAGTGAGGAAGAAAGAGAATTTAAGTGACACTGAACATGGCAGTGATTGTTGGTGGCAGACACACTGGCCTGAATATTTCAGAAACTAGTGATTTCTGAATTTCCAGCATTCAAAATGGTCTGAAATGAGAGAAAATATCTAGGACAGACTCCAATCCGGCCCAGTGGGCAGCTGTGGAGGATGACTTTAACTGTGTTTTAACTTTTGACTGTTTCCTATCATTTACGGTATATTAAACTAATTAAGTAACAGAAAAACAATAACAAAAATGTTCCCTTCTTGTAACAATAGGTCCAAAGTTTATTTTCTCAAAGATTAAATGTGTAGTTAAACTTCTGTGCACTAACAGAAGGTGGAGTTTCACTGGTCTGGTCCTGGCGTGTTGTTTATTTTATTTGTATTTATTTGTAATATAAACAAATCAAAGACATACTACATTATGTAAGAATAAATCAATTTTAGGCCCTCCTACTCACAAATGAGCCACATTAATGGCGGAAATACATTTAACAGTTTGAAGGCTAACCACCTGAAAAACGGAGAAAACGAAGCCGTTTATGTTATGCTTCCATGCCGAATTAAAGTGTGGGATGTACTGACAGGGAAACATTGATATGATCTTAAACCCGCTGGGTTGTTTTACTGTAGCTCAAGGAGAAAAATAAATCTTCGTGCATCTGAACGGAAGCTGGCATCCACTCACTCTCAGTGAAAGAACATGCACTTTGAATAGCCAATAACATTGATTTTCTTAAAAACAAATGTGCAGGCATTGAGTTGTGTCCGGCCTCACCATGAAGTGTAGACTCCCGTTTTGTGTCCTTTCCTAACTGCGTAGAAAAACTTCCCTTTCGCCATGTCGTCAGCAGCGCTACAAAAGGTCCTGCATGCAACTCTGAAAAGACCAGTCAGCCTAAACATCACTGTCTGCCAACACACAGCACGGGGACAAAGGTGGCTAGCATCGTGATATTAACTCGGATACATTCAAATATCAATAGATTTGAGTAGTGAAGACGTGGTTTGACATAAAATCTTGAAATATGGGACCAAATTAGCAGCCAGGTGTACAGATGTCCGGGAAAGCTAAACCCGAAAAAGCCCAAAAAGTATTCCTTATATATTTAACACCAGTCTAATAAGTCTTGCAGTCATCTTAGTTTCTTCATTGGCCGTATATCCCTATTTGAAAATGTTGCAGTAAGTAAACAAAATCGAACAAAAATCAGTCTAAACGCACAGCAATAATCTGCCTGCAGTTTCCCCGACTGTTTTCTACTACACTCACGCGATAGTTCTTATCACGTCAAGCGTTTCTACAATTCTCGCGATAGAAAAAAAGGTCGCTCCCGATTGGATTAATCCAACTCTCGCGATGTTCCGGCCTCTTCCTTGGCCGTCGTTGACAGAGGTTAGTCGTGCCATTTTACTCTGGACTAGCTTTTCTGTTTTAAAATGTACTTTAAATGTATTTAATGGCAAGGTTTACACACAGTAGGGCAAGTGAATCCTGTGATAGCTTAGATTATGTGATTTGCAGTATCGGATGGCTCATCTTAATGTCTAAATAAGACATAGTAGAGGGGCTCTGCTCAATGAGTTCGGCAAGCGAGTAGCGGCTAGCAATAGGCCGTGCATGTGTTCAGTTAGCCGTCACAAAACCGAAGGAAAAAGAGCTTAAGTTAATTTTCAGGGTCGGATGTTCAGCTCTTTTAATTGTGACTCAAGTAGTTAATATGTATGTGCCGTTTTATGTCCATTGGGCTGTTATATCAATCTCCTGTGCTATTGTGGTGTAGCCCGGTTAGCTCAGAGGTGTTACGCCTGGAGGTTAGCGGTGCTCTGGGCTTTCAATAAAGGGTGGATATTAAATATGTTCGGATGCCGGTGGGTCTAACCTAAATGTTTTTATTTCTCCGTGCAGAGACAAAGGCCATGTTCAGTACCAGCGCCAAAATAGTGAAGCCTAATGGCGAGAAGCCAGACGAGTTTGAGTCTGGGATCTCTCAGGTAAGAAAGTCGGCATCACAGATCCATGTATTATTGAAGCTTCAGTCCAGCTGAATGAGTAACTGTGGGGGCCGTTGGGGAGAAAACTGTAAAGGGCATCATGAATAAATATGGTGTAACTATATGATTTATTGGTCAGCCATTACATAACTGCACTATCTGTTAATATGAGGCCAGTTTTACGTCAGATTACATTTAATAAAAAAGGTACTGATTTTTTGTGTACAGGGGTTCATGTACAGTATCAGAACTCTCTTGTCTCCAAGTGACTATTTAAACAAGAATTGTACTGTTGGAGGAATGTAAGGCTGTGTGTGATTGAGTCTTTAATGTGATTTAATTATGACTGACATTAAAGTCTCAGCTGCTGGTTCTTCTCAATCCTGTAAGGCTGAGTGTTTCATTAGGACAGCCCTGTTTGGTGGTTTTGTCCACTTACTGGTTGGTGGACTGATGGGGTGATGTGGCCTTAAAATTATATCATATTTCTTGAAGTGTCTGGTGAATAAAGTACCAGCAGCACCAGCATTGCAGTGGTGATACATTATAAGTTCAGTAAGCAAAAAAGTAACCCAGGTCATGTTTTCTCTTTCAAAAAAAGAAAAGGCAAGTAAAATAATGCACCTGTGAGTGTAGACATAGTTCTGTTCCACACCGTCGGACAGAAAGCTGTACCCCTGGCTTAACTGATTAGTTTAACAATAACTGAAGTGATGTTTTAACCCTGCTCACCAGGCGGCTGTGGTATTTCTCATCTAGTGTTCCCTAAAGCTTACCTGGTTGCTCTCATGGCGATCAGTCATCTGTCTCAGATTCTAACTCTGCTGTCTTGGACAGCAGCTGGTGATGGAAGTCTTTCCCCTTGCTGTGGAGAGATCCTGTAACTTGGAAGGTGATGTAATCCTGAACCTTCAGCAGCTGAAGCTCACTGAGGCTCAAGAGCATAACCGTCACCAGTAGGAGTCCAAGATGGTGGAGTTGTTAGTCTGTCCTTAGGATGAAGAACCTACTGGTGCAGCAGCTGATTTGTTTATTTTAAAAAGGGATGGTTTTGTTTCTTTTAATGACCACATGGAAAATCTGCCATCAGTGGGATTGGGCTCTCCTTTAGAGAGAAGCAGAAATATGAAGCTAATAGAAAACGTTTGAGCTAGTCAGGATGAGTGATGTGGTTGTGCTTGCTTTACTCATTTGACTGGTCTTTCCACAGGCTCTGCTCGAGCTGGAGATGAACTCTGACCTGAAGGCTCAGCTGAGAGAACTGAACATCACTGCAGCAAAGGTGAGAGTTCACATGAACCTGTGTGCATGAGCTTCGTGTCATTGAATTATTTACATAACTGATACATTTTGTTTTAACAAGCCTGTTGCTGTGTTTGCTGCTTTTCACTGACTCAAAATCAAGCTTTAATTTATCTTTATGCTAAGTTTTAAATCTAATCCGACGTGGACATCCAGAGAGTTGCTCTCCTGGCTCTGTCCTGGTGGCGTATGGGAGCGTAGCTCTGAGCTGAGACGTACAGTCCCGTTCCACAACGTTGGAGAGAAAGCTCTGTCCCCGGCTGCTGGCCGGTGAGGACGAGCGTCCTGCATATTCCTACATCTTCCCAGAGTCCTTTGGGGCCATTACTGGGGAGCTAAACCATGCAGTGCACACTTTTTGATACGTACTGGGGTTATAAGTCGTCGTGTTTTACTGAAATTCTTTCGTACTAACCTAGAGCTCAATGCATGTTCCTCCGAGTTTTAACAGCCACAGATTTAGGAAACATTAAGACAATTTCCTTCAAGGATCCAAAGCTGGGATTTGGGCACCTCGTGGAGAGCTCCTGCCCTGCCCAGGTGGCGTCACATCACACTTCAGAGCCCCTGTGCTCTTAAATGACTGCTGCTTTATTCTTTTCAGGAAATCGAGGTTGGTGGAAACAGGAAAGCCATCATCATCTTCGTTCCTGTCCCTCAGCTGAAGTCCTTCCAGAAGATTCAGGTGCGCCTGGTGAGGGAGCTGGAGAAGAAGTTCAGTGGAAAGCACGTGGTCTTCATTGCACAGGTGAGGATACCATCGCTGTGACTGTCAGTTTGACGACTTACTTGATATCCAGAAATATTACGATTTGCTTTCAAGCTGGATGCCTGGAAAACATTACTTAAAATGCATAACCCTGTTAAGAACAGGCGTGAGCTCAGGTATGTGTCCATGTGTTGCAGTGATTCTTTTATCCGACATGGACATCCAGAGAGTTGCTCTCCTGGCTCTGTCCTGGTGGCGTATGGGAGCGTAGCTCTGAGCTGAGACGTACAGTCCCGTTCCACAATGTCGGACAGAAAGCTCTGTCCCCGGCTGCTGGCCGGTGAGGACGAGCGTCCTGCATATTCCTACATCTTCCCAGAGTCCTTTGGGGCCATTACTGGGGAGCTAAACCATGCAGTGCACATCTTTTCAAATCCGGGTTCAACTTATAGGCTGATAATGAAATAAAACCTCTTTATGTAAGCAAGAATATCAGCCTGAACCTGATTGTTACCTTCATGCTGCTCTGTAGTTGCTTTTGTTTGCCCAATTCCTCGTTGGAGATTAATTGAACAATTTCTGGCTTTCAGAGGAGAATTCTGCCCAAACCCACCAGGAAAAGCCGCACGAAGAATAAGCAGAAGCGTCCCAGGAGGTGAGTGCAGAGAGTTGGCTTTAAAATCTGATCTCACAGATTTCTGCGGCTGACTCGCAAGAGTGGGTCAATGTGTTAAAGTGGATCTGGAGTCTTTAATGTTAGACACTTTCCATCTCTGACATTGATTCAAGTGAAAGAATGGAGGGAAGATGGTGCAGTGATGAGCATTTCCACTTTTTTTTTTTCTTTTTTTGGAGCTCATACAAAAACACTACAATGAACTTTAGCTGGCAACATTTACACTGTGCTTAGTTTACTTTCATTTTTCTGAACTTCAGTGTTCTCTCGGTTTGTAAAGTGTTCGATCTTCTGTCACCTTCTCAGACCCCTTTTATCAGGCCAGCGTCGGGTAGCCTGGTGGTGGTTACATGCGATCTACCACCACCTTGTGGAGGTACTGTTGCAATGCATGCTACCAGATGCATGTGATGAAAATTAATAGTTCTTGTGATATTCATTTTCATCACATGACGTTAATGCATCTGCAGTGCTCTCTTTAAGCTTTAGAAATTGCTTTGTGTATAAATGATTTTTTAAAAAATTATGTTAATACTGTTTTGAAGCATCTTCTTTGAGGTTCTCTGTCCTTCAAAATAAAAGAGATTGTGAGGATAACTGTAAACTTAAATCTACAAATGTGTTTCTAAAAAACGTGAGAAAGGTTTATTAACTGGACAGAATGATGCTATAAACCCGTTTTTAAATCTAATCCGACGTGGACATCCAGAGAGTTGCTCTCCTGGCTCTGTCCTGGTGGCGTATGGGAGCGTAGCTCTGAGCTGAGACGTACAG